ATAAAGAGTATAAAACATTTTTTCTTGCTTAAAATTATTATAAAAGAAAAATTTTTAACAAAACGGATGTGATCAGAAAAGAGTTTTTTTTAAGAGTAAATATATCTATTACTATTATAATTAGATTTATAATATATCAAATTACTATAAATTATAAATCTAAGTTGTAAGTATCTTGAATATTTTTGAATAATAATAGAATAGTAAAAATTGAATAGAAAATCCAATTGCAGATAGTAATTACAGATTCAAAAGAATTTTATATAAAGATATTATTTATTAAAATAAGTATTACTTTTAGTATAATATTCTTTTCTTTTTTTCAATCATTTTTTTTAAATAAAATTTAAATATAATAATTATTTAATAATATTAATATAGTTTAGACATTAGATTTATATTTCTATAATATATCTTTTATATTAAAATATTATAACAAGTATTTATAATAAGTTACTAATATTATAAATAATAATTTTTATAATATATGTAATATATATATATAACATAATATTAATAAAAAATATGATGAAATAAACTTATATTATAGATTTAAAAAATTTTTTAAATATTTTATTTTTGTAATTTAAATATAAAAATTATTATTTTAATATAATAATAATATAGTTGTTTTTTTTATTATTGTAGTAGTGAAAATTATAAGTTTGTTATTTGTTACAAGTCTTATTATAGAAAATTATATAATATTCAAATATATTAATTTTGTATTAATTAATTAGATAGTTTATATTAATATCAATAATTTATTTTTTTATTTTTTAATAAAAGAAATAATTGAATTTTATTAATTCTTATTTATAAATTGTGTATTATAAAAAAAAACAAAAATATAATATAATAAAAAATACAATAAAAAATTTGATCAAATAAATAATTTCTAAATATAAGATAATAAATATATTTGTTTATAAAAATAAATATATTTTATTATTTTATTTAATTAAATATATTTATATATGTTTTTTTATCAAAACATACAATATAATATAATATTCATAAAAAAACTGATAATATTTAATTAATATTTAATTAATTTTAATCAAGATCATTATTATAATAATAAATAATTTTATAAGATTTTTTGATTATTTTAAATTTGTTATTCTGAATATACGATTAAATGATTTTATTTGTAATATTAAAAATTAAAATTTAGATATATTTTTATAAAGAAAATATTTTATAATAATTAAACTATTCAAGTTAATGTTTTTTTAATGATACTATATATTAAATACAATATAAATTTATTGAATATACAACACGTATATACAAAATATAAACAGTGAATAGTTATGTATAAAAAAAAAAAAATCCTATAAATAAATAATTTACATTAATTTTTGAAACAGATTTTTAGTAATAAGAAATTACGTTAAAATCAAAAATCAAGATTATGCAGTACAGTAAATGATAGTAGCATTCGAAATAATATTTTTTGATATATAATACAGTATAACTTTACATTGATCAAATAAATTTGTAATGATTTCGAATTGATTTATTTGATGCTTGATCAATTACAGTAATTTCAATTAGTTTATTTGTGTATATGATAGACTGTACTGTAAGATTTGTCATATACTATATATTTATTTTTATAATTTGAATTAATTAATCAATAATTAATTTTAAAATACTGAAGATGTTAAAAAGCTTATAATTATTTTTTATATATAAAACGATATTTGTTTGTAAAATAAAAAATCAATTACTATAAATAACCATTATTATTTATGTATATACAGTATATACAGTATATATTATTGTATGATTTTTTTTAATTTATCATATATTCCGAGAATACTGTACAAAGTTATAACAGCATAACTTATTATATCACGATATTTCAATTAATATACAGATTATATATACAATGATTGTGTGAGATAATTTCACCATCGAAACGAATACAGCACAATGAAAATACTGCGAGCATTTGTTGTATTAAATGAATTATATTCGATCCGTCAAACAACTCACTTATTTCTACAATGGGTTGCCGAAAACAACCGCATAGGATTTCCAAAAAGCGCGAAAAATCAAAGTACTGCATCATGCAAACTCAGTATATGACTCTAAAATAGCAAATAAAGTGCACCGTGGATTTGAGATAAGGGACTCATGATACAAATAAAATACTATCATATAGTAATCGCAGCACAAAAACATTAAATTTTGGTTCATCCGAAACATTGTCTCTTCCCGCTGCATAACGCAATGATTTTCACAATTGCTGCGGCAGTGATACGTAAGACATGTTTGCGTACAAATACGCTAATATATATCATTGGTCTAGCGATCATTTGTGTGTGTGAAAGATATTTGTATCGGAATAATTTTTTTGAAATTGATAAAATCCGAACGGCTGTGAGATTACCTCCAAAATCAAAAAACCAAAGAATTTTCTTATTACAATTGATTCATCATTTAAAAGAAATGACAATGAATAATCAACAAATATGGCTCAAGGAGGCCGTTGATCAAGGAAAAATCAAGTTCATTCAATTCGATACATTTAGTAACATACAAGTTATTGCTCCTGGTTCTTTCGGAAAAGTTTCCCGTGCATATTGGTCAATTGGCGAGAAAAATGTTTCATTAAAAAGTTTGGACAATGAGTATAATAGCGGCGATCAGCATTTCTATCAAGAACTTATCAAGGAGGTCAGTGGACAATGTTGCGTATCAATATTTTCAATGCACTGAAGATTTATGTTGCGTGTTATTTCCACCGGTAGCTTAGGATTGCTCGTGAAGTAGACTTTCATGATGCTATTAACCGATTTTTTGGTGTAAGTAGAGGAAAGTATTTTTCAAACTCAAGCATTTTTTATTGTCATCTACAGTTGCATACAATACATTTTTTTTTACAAAAAGAAGCTTAAATGTAATTACAGATTCGGCAAATCGATATTATTTGGTTTTGGAATATGCCAACGGTGGGAATCTAAGAGATTTTTTGCGGAACAATATTGCTAGCCTCGATTGGACAAAAAAAATAGACATTTCCAAACAGATTGCTCGCGGCCTTCGCTGCTTGCACAGTCAGAACATAGTTCACCGAGATTTGGTGGTTATGCATTTCGATCACCTTTGATAAATTGCTTTTAGCACCTTTGTTATTCACTCGTCTCTTTATAATGTAGCACCCACAAAATGTATTGATTCATAATGGGAGGATGAAGATTACCGATTTTGGATTGTCAAAACCTTTGGATACAGTTTCAGCATCAACCCAGGGAGGAATGATAGCATATGTAGATCCACAATCTCTAAACAATTCATCGCACATACGGACAAAATCATCCGATATTTACAGCTACGGGGTGATGCTTTGGGAAATATCCAGTGGTCAAATACCGTATAAAGATGTGGATTGTCTGGACATTATTGAGGGATACAGGGAATCGCCAGTGGTCGGTACCCCAAGCGCGTTCGCAGAAACTTATTCGAAAGCTTGGGATCATTATGAAGAAAAACGTCCAACAATTCAACAGGCATGTGATGAACTCGATGAAATAAATTTGTTACCAACCTTTGATTCGCATCCATCGCCGCCGTCGCTGTTTTCATATGAATCATCTACCGGTAATTCAGAAAATCTTATGACGCCGGTAATAATTCGAAATAGGCAAACGACTATTGTGACCGTTGATGCAGGATCATCTAATGTCGAGAAGAATTTGTGGCTTGCATCTGTTGATGTAGATACGATAAATACGATATCTGCAATGACATCGGGCGTAGATAAAAGTCTGAAACCCACTTCCACTGCTGTTAAAAGAAAATCAAAGCCGACGAATGCTGATAGAAATATAAAGACTATAAATATTGATAGAAGTGCAAAGCCCACAAATGTTGATAAAATTGTTGATAAAAGGGTTGAGGATAGAAGAATACTTATGAGTAAGATCACGTTTTCATTCGTCTACTTACTTTTTAACGTCAGCTAAACTTTTTTTGTTGTCTAGGTCAAAAGCTGCAAAAGCCAAAAACAAAGGATGCTCAACGCCAAAGGGCTGCTTATCCCATTTCAAAAAAGGAAGAGGTTGTGGAATATGCCAAAAAATATAGTCGAAATGCGGCTGCAAGGCACTATGGCCTTGATGCACCGATGGTGGGACGTTGGGTAAAGGCTAGTGAAAAATGGAATAAGGACACAGATAAAAATGTCATGCGTCTTGGTTCTGGAAGAAGGGCGTTTTTTCCGGAAGCAGAAGATCGATTATATCAATGGATTGTCGAACAACGGAATACTGCAGTCTCAATGACCTATGCCATGATAAGAAAGCAAATGTTGGAGATCTTAAAAGAACCCGATATGGCCGCATTGTATACTAATGCTGATCAATTCAAGGCCAGAAGTCGCTGGTTAACTGCATTCATGAAGCGCAAAAAAATTGCGTTAAAAAGACGTAATAAATTTTCCCATAAACTTCCGGAGCAACTTAGGGCATCGTTGGATAAATTTCGCCATGATATATTTCAACTAAGATATGCCCTCCCTTTTGAAATGTATAATATATTAAATATGTGCGAAACTCCGGTGTGGTTCGATATGGCTGGAAACTTTGCCGTGAATCCTATCGGTGAGAAAAATAATCACGGCAATCGTTCAAACAATGATAAAAATCGGTTCACGGTGGTGCTCACTTGTGCAGCAGGTGAGATTTTTAGTCTACATAGTTCATATAGGTGCTTTTTTTAAAATGTCTCGTTTATTTACAATCATGTGTTTATTTAGATGGATCCAAGTACCCACCCATTTGTATTTTTAAAGGAAGGCAATTGCCACGAGGGGAGGTTGTTCCTCCTGGTGTTTTTGTATGTTTCCAAGAGGATGACTGGATGACGGGTGAACTTATGAATTATTATGTCAACTACTTAATTCAAATAAGAACAATTCAAAATCAATCGAATATGTCTGCATTGATGGTTTACGATCCTTTCCGCGGGCACTTGGATGATTCTATTCAAAGGAAATTTTACGATAACAACATTCGTTTGGTGATGATTCCTCCCGGGTTAAAAAGTGTTTGTCAACCGTTGGATGTGGTGCTCAATAAACCATTCATTGATAATCTAAGAAAAGAATGGTACCAATGGATGGTCGGTGGAGGCACAAGTTACAATTCAACTAGAAATTTGCGCCTTGCAAAATTTAGTGATGTGTGTGGCTGGGTGAAGCGATCTTGGGACGAGATTTCACCGGATTATATTTCACGGTCATTTAAAAAATGTGCAATTTCAAATGCATTGGATGGGTCCGAAAATGATATGGTTTATGATGATATCGAGGAAATTGCCAAAGAACTTCAAAAAGAAAAAGAGTTGGAGGACCTGGTTAATGGTGAAGATGAATATGAAATTATTGACTTGAATGATGATGATGAGAATAATACCGAGGATATAATTCCGGTAGAAGACAATGAACAAGAAAATGAAGATGAGGACGAGTTTGAAGAGGGACGAGTTGGCGAGGAACTCTATTTTTAAGATCCCGAAGATTAATCCAATTTCTTTTTATTTATTTTTCTCAAAAAAAAAAAATGTTAAATTATGTTTTATGACAGCTGCCTTTTCGGGGTGTTTATTTTTGGGTATAAATTCAAGCCCAAATCGAATGCCAGTAGAAATACCCTACTAGAAATTTATGAACATTCACACTTAAGTTATAAGCACTTAAAATTATTTAAAATCAAAATTTGAGTTTAGATATTAGGCTTTCCCATTTTTTCACTGATGATTCTAGAGTGACAAATATGTTACGCTTTTTTGTACATTTTGATGTAAATAAGATAAGAAAATTTTATAAATAATAAAAAAAAAAAACTGTTTATTTTCGTAAAAGCAAGGCAAATGAAATGAAAGGATCGAGAAAATTTTAGATGCATTGTCTCTAAAATATTTCTACCGTATTTAATTATATAAATTGTATATATTGGAAAGAATAATACGGCCTTTTATTCTTTTATGATATTGTTATGAGAGATTGTTATTTGTCAGCAGAATGTATAATCATGGAATAATGAGAATTTGCTTTTGTATAACGAGCCTATTATATATATATATTTCTTACAAAATAGATGATTTTGCGTAGTGCATTATATTGAATTCCATAATCTAATTGCCAACATATAGACATTATTTTGATGTCCAGCATGTCCAAGGTCCTGGTTTAAATTCTCATGGTGATAAATGTACCTTTATTTGCAATGCATATTTATTCTAAGAAACTAAAGATAATTTTTATAATATAAATGTTATTGCTTTGTATCGTATAAGATTGACTATTTTTTTAATTAAAATGATGCTATTTATTACTTGAATAATCTCTGCAGTTTGTTATTTAATACCCATTATCAAAGTATAATATGAGCATTCCTGTGCTTGTGCTATGAGATTTATTGCATCAATCGGTTATCTATGCATTCAAAGGTTTTGAATATTCTCTTGAAATTTTTGATCTTGTCTTTTAAAACCTTTAATTATCATATTTGGAGTTTTTTTTTTTTTTGTTAATATATGTTCATTTATTTATTTATAAAAACACGGAAAGATATTGTATTTATAATGTGTCCAAACAAATGAAAAAGGTGGTTAGTTATTTTTACAAATAATAATCATTTAACACGTTTTAACTTATGTACAGTATTTGCAGAAAAATCTAAATAAATCGTAATTACAAAGCAGTAATTAAAAAAACACTGATAGAAATGGAGAATTGCCATGGCGACAAAATACAGATAACCTGTTATTACTACCTAGATCGATAAATTATGGTCGTTCGTTTGCAGCTTTATCTTATTTGGCATTTTCTTAATTTTGACAATTTTCCTATTTTGATATTCTGGTTTACACAGTACGTATAGAAAATAAAGGTAGGTAAACTTTCATATTGACAAAAATATTATAGTTGCAATAAAATTTCCATAAAATGAAGAACAATAATGCGAACCTTTGACATACAATTTATTATATACAAATAGCCGAAATTTTACTCGAAAAAATTTCTACCTAAATATCCTTTTGTACGTAAGTTCATTTTATATGTTCCCTAAATACAGCAGATTATTCAATATATTACATAATGATATTTATTATGTCTCTTATCCACGTCATAATTACAATGAGAAATCCCAAAGACTTAAAAATATCCAGAATGTCGAGAATTGACCAAGGATTGATCGCTATGGCTCATAAACGAGTATAGATCTTCTCTTTACAATTCTTAAGACACGTTACGGTCAAAATATTTCGCGTAACAAGGTTTTATGGTTATTGCGGAAGATATTGTATTTGTGCCTGAGGTATCCAAATACATAATCTCTTAATTTTGTCCTTGAATAAGCTATGTATTCAAAGGTATTTTAGACTGTTATCTGATAACATCAAGAAAATAAGTTTTAATTAATAGAATTTGACTTAAAGAAAGATACAAATATAAGTATATCATTACCGTATGCCGGTGTCTGCGGAAAGAGATAACCTTGCTTGCATAAGTTGCTTTGGTCAATTTTGATATAACTTTCGAGTCTTTTATCCATTCTGTAAAAATTTCATGTATTTCTTTGGCAAGTGGACGATTCTTTGGATTTTTATCCCAACATCTTTCCATAAGATCCACATAACACTGTGGTGTGTCTTCAATAATAGTTACCTTGTAAATAACGGTGCTATTATATAACTGGAAATTATGATTTGCTACTTGAATTATAAATCGAATTCTAGATTCTTTGTCAAAGGGAACGACTTTTCCGGAAGAAATTTCCCACATAATTATTCCGAATGAGTAAATATCTGATGCTAACGTGTACGCAGCATCACAGAGCACTTCGGGTGCTATGTATGGTATAATTCCATATTCTGTATCGGGCGACATTAAAAGACCTAAATCTGTAATATATGCGCTACATAGGTCATTTAATAATATATTACCACCATGTAAATCTCGGTGGATAATATTTTGTGAATGAATCATTCGGAGATCAGAAGCAATCGAAACCAACAGTTGTAACTTATTTTCCCAATTCATTTGTGCTATCGAATAAAGGTTGTCGCGCAAAGAACCCATTGGCGCATAAGCCAAAACAGCAATGTAATCTTTGGATGTATCGTCCCTTGAAATTCCATAGCATCTGATTAATGACGGATTTTTACAACCAATAACACAATATGCCCTTAGCTTTAGTGAAGAAAGAAAATGGAAAAATTAATAATAATAAATAATAAAGTTACTTAATTGTTAATAAAAAACGTACCTCTTTTATGAACTCATCATGATAATTTCCCGATCCATGAAGTAATTTAAGTGCAACTTGTTTGAAATTCCAATGTGCCCGAAATACAGTTGAAAATCTACCTTTACCTATCTCCTTTATCCCTGATAAATACTTGTAAGGTATCCAGGCCAAACGAGACTTGATTTCAGAAAGCACTTTTATAATCCCATAATCAATATTCGTATTTTTAGGTATCAATTTATCTAAAACTAAAATATAAATATTAATCTACAAATAAGTAAAATTAATATAAACTTAAATAATACCACAATACCTGATACATTGTATGTTTTTCTAATTTATTGGTAATTTAGAGAAAGATGTTTTTAGTTAAATAATTAATATTGTTACTTGAGAGTAAAGCGTTGACAATAATGAGAAAATAAACCTTTTTCTTATATTTTGTCAATAATAATTGATAGAGAAATATTATATGGGTAATTATTTTTGAAGGCGACAAAAATGCTAGATGTGATTTTTCAGTCCCAACTTTTAAACAATACATATATAATGTAAATTTAGGATCATGCCATAAAAATTCCGGTCCGCCTTCGAAAATAATTACCATATATAAAAAGAAGATTTATAAACTTACTTTCTTTCATTTGACAATTGATGAAGGAGTTTTCAGGAGAAATTAATTCAGAAATTTACGTTTATTTAGCAAAGGATTATTAAACCATATACTTACTCCCTAGAAATTCTTACACTTGCATATTCTTCAAAACTATCTGCAGAATAATTAGATCCAATCGAATCTAGAATAAGTAAATCATTAGTACATGACATCTATAAAATAGTCTGACTTGTTATACCTCTTGTATCTGATGAATTTTCGTTGGTGATGTTAACACCGTTGTAAACTGGCTCAAAAGATAAAGATTTTATTTGCTTAAGGACTTGATCTGCGGTTAGACGAAGCGAAGGAGTTGCGTTCCAACATATGGAATAAAGTTTAACAAAAGATAACGGTGTTCCAACTACAGGTTCTTCTCGCTTATTCTCAATTATATTTTTAACGACGAAAGCGGCGTCTAATTTGTTAAATGGTACACGACAGCTTGAGATTTCCCAAAACAACAAACCAAGGCTGTAGATATCAGATTTGGTGTCTGTTTTGTAATGAGAATTTTCTAATTTTTGAGGATCAACGAAGGGTAGCATCCCAAGAATATCGCTTTTACTTGACATAACACTGTTTAGATTCTTGGATAATCCAAAATCCGTTATTTTTACGTCTCCATGCTTCATTAAAATGTTTTTGGTATGCTAATATATAAAGGAACTAGAATCAATAATTAGAGAACTTTTCGATATTTAAGTTAACAATAAAACTTGTGAAAATATCTTTTAATACCAAATCTCGGTGCGCTACTTTCATCACATTGTGAATGTAAGACACACCTTCTGCTAATTGAACTGCAATTTTTATTTTCTCTTCCCATTGGAGTTCGTCTTTTTTATCGGATAAATACTTTCTTAGATGACCGTCAGCAAGTTCCATGACAAGGTAGCATGAGTCTGCGTCCATATCTAGATTTATTTAAAAGTTGTTAATTTTACTAACATTTGAAAATGCTCTGATAATCAACAAAACCTTTCAACCATGGCTTATTCCAAATAATTCGATAATCCGATTGCTTTTAGCCTTGCTATGTAATTTTAACTAAAATGGAATAAAACATTGTATGAGTAATTTACAGAATCCAATAAATTGTCATGTTTATTCAAACCTCATTAAGAAAATTCTTGATAGATGCGCTTTCGTCATCATTACCGATAGATATTTCTTTTATTGCCACCATTTTGATATCTCTGTCTATATTGCATTTAAACACAGAACCAAATGCACCTCTTCCGATCTTTTTCTTGTTTTTCAATTCCTCGATAGGAATAACACTTAATTCGTACTCGCTAATAGCAAGAGAATATAACTTTATACTTAAATCCATCGCTGTTAGATGTACTGTATATTGTGTTTAACACTGTACGTATTTAACTATGCTGAGTTTTAACTCCGACCAGTTAAAATCAACCATTTACATACAATGCGACGATCCATAATGTTTTTGAAAACTTGAGTAATAATGATAACAAGAGTGGACCTAATAAGTATGATATCCAAGATAATAACAATATCAGATATCTGTAAGATAAAGTTGGAATAGATGAAAGAGATTATACTAAAAGTCTTAACGCAAAAGCAACATGAATAATTATTTCGATGTTATTACAGAGTCCAGGACCAGGTAAGCGTTCTATTAGGTTTTTTAACTCTCGGGCGTGTTTATTTTGTCAATTTTTCCCTCGGTCTTCTCTAACTCTTCCTCTTGACCAGTAGGGCGCACCCTGCTCAATGCTAGAATATTCCCTCTTCTAATCAATTCTAATTCCCCATTGGTCTCATGGACAAATCGCGAATATAATAAACAACCCAGGAAAAGTTTATACCTTAAACTTTTTTATTTGTAAAATACCAATACCACTACACTATTTCTCACCTTCATTTTTACCGTTCTGCGGCTCTATCAATAAACACTAGGAATGTTTATCTGATTACATTTTAATCGCTGCCGCATGTTTACATATGGCATTTTAATCTTCGCCTAATTTTTTCAACTATTGTTCTCAGAACTACACTTATTACGTAACACAACATTGCGTTACGTTACAGTGCTCTCTTAAATATACCTGTAACAATGTCTTCATAATGACATACGGTAAATTAATATCGTTCGTAGATTAAAAATTCAGGAATCTTGCATTCTATGGCTCTAGTTTCACATGACCAAACAAAAGTATTGTATATACAACAAAATAATTACCATATTTTTGGATGACTACGCGACACGAGTAATGAATCTCAGAAAAGTATTAGTAATCACGGCAACACGTACAGTAATAAAGAGGGGTTCGCAAAATCAGGTGATATTCTATATTAGTAAAATCGGCTAATTAGGTAAATTTTAACAGTAAAAATTGTACCTCGTGATAATAAATAAATCTTTATAATTTGCCTCACGTGTAAGCGCTTATAATATTGAAGGCGAAATATAGAGAGAGCCAAGGTTTAGGCTGGCAAGTGGGTATCACCTGTACAAAGAATTTTTCAGAATAATTTAATAAATATGATTAACAAGTACCAAATTGTAGCACGCTTCAAGATTAAAGTATTACTTTATTTAGAGGAACAATCCCGGGTAGCGACCAATTCGCCGGCGATGATAATAATATATAACTTCACAATACTTTCATTATTGCTATACAAAAATTTTTTATAAAGTTAATTCGTTAATACTTAATTCTTAAACAATGCTTTACTAACTATTAAGTATAATAGGAAGTTCATATAGTTTTCATTAAACTTTTATTCCTTGATAACTATTTTTAAACAATCATGCATATTTTATCTATTGCTAAGGAAGGGTGGAGCATACAAAAAGCTTTCTTACAATACACAATTACGCACAATTACAAAATTCGCATAATTTGAATATAAAAATGTTTATATTCGTTGTCTCGTTTTTTAATAACAAAATGCGGATATAAAGATTTAATAAATTTAGATAAATATTTTTTAATATATATATACAGTACATATATAATATAATTCGTAAATGCTTTTTGTAATTTTTATATATTACTTTATTCTTAAATTTCATTTAAGCAATTGTCAAACCAATAGAAGGGGTTACCGAATTGGTAGAGGGTTGGTAATTAAAATTGATGCTTATGGAAACAATTAAATTTTGTTAGGATGAGAGATCTAAGTTGTTTGAGGAAGGATAGACAACGGCTCTTACTATTACTCGAAATTACGAGCAAGATGGAGCTTAAATGCAATTTTTCAACAGTCAAAAGGTACTTCGTAGTTTTGAGCTTTGTTCATATATTGTGACTAAAAAATCGTTTATTTCAAAAAAAAAATGTAAGTGCCCGTGTTAAGTAGTGTGAAAAAAACAAAATATAATTGTTTGTGATTGAGCTAATATTATTTTTTATGATGAAAATTAGTATTGAAATAAACAAACAGTCATAACAATAGGAGTTTGATAATATTAAGTCAAAAGGTTTAAAGAGAATATTGTATAGGTCTTACTTTAAAAGTAAATGATAATCAGCAATTATTTGGGATTTTTTATAGAAGTGTAAAAAGATTCTTTGATTTATTTGTAACAAAAATTAAAAAATAAATGATAAATTGATGCAACTGTTTATATTGTATTTTTTTTTATACGTTATTATTGAGATAAGGGAAAAAATCTAATCTTTCAATAATAAATTCCGCTGATCTACACTGCAAAAAAAATAAAAAAATAGTTAAAGGCAAAATCATAACCTGGTTTACAAATTTTTCAGATATAAATTTAATAGAAAAATATTTAGAAGTTTTTTATGGATAAAATACAGTTATTATAATTTTTAAAAATAGTAAATAAGCTAAAGTCATGTTATAAAATAAAAAGGCTTGGATATTTCTATTTTTAACTAAGTTATTACTTCCATACTGTAATATAGGTAAAGATAATAAATACTATATGTTTTATTATTATAATATTATTAAACAAAGATATAATCAACTTCATAATAAAATAAAAAAATGGCATAAGTCAAAAAAACAAAAACTATTAAAAAGTTTGTTACATTGTGAAACAATTATAAAGATTGCAATGTAATAAAAATACCATGAATTAATTCAATTAATTATATTATAAAAAAAAAATTTAAAATTTCTAATAATCATTTGTTATAAAATTTTAATAGTTTAAACCTAATTAATATTTATTATTATTATTGTGTAATTAGCATGCATAAAAAAAAAGTTAATAAATACAGTGTGTAACAAAATTTTTTTCAATTTTTTATTTATTTGTTATTCAAAAACTACTGCATAGAAATTAATAATAAATATATCAAAATAAAACTACAAATCTAGAGATTTTATTAATATAAAATTAATAATTAATTCTTTTGCCTTCATTTTCAATTATCATTTCACTTCTTTCATTTATTGAATCTATAAAATTATTTAAAACCTTATTTGGAATTTTATTTCATTCTTCTATCATAAACTATTCTAATTCTAAAATATTTTTAGGCATTTTTAATTCTACATTTCTTTTAACAATAGCTCAAAGATTTTCAATAGGATTTAAGTCTAGACTATTAGAAAGTCAATCTATAATTTTAAAAAAATTTTCATTAACAAATGTTTTAGCAATTTTGTTTGTATATTTTGAATTATTGTCATGTTGAAAATAAAAATCATTTCCAAGCAATTCAATAATTTCTAATTTATGTTTTTGCAAAATATTAACATAAAATTTTGCATCCATAATTTCTTTAAAACAAAAAGAGAAGTTTTTTGTTTATACAAATTCTTTTCATACAAAAATTTTGATACAATCTTTAAATATTCTTCTGACTAGTTTTGCATTTTTATACTATTAAGTAATTGTATTTCTAAATAGTTGAAATACTGTTTTATCAAAAAATAAAATCCTTTTCCAATTATGATCAAGATATTTTTTTGCTTAAATAATATTTGCTTCTTTATAAGCAGTAATAAGTATATAAGTTTCTAAAGATAGATTATTTTATAACCCAAGCTTGTTAAATATCTTTAAATTGTCATATGGGATACTTTAATATTCATATTTAACAATTTAATTGCCAAAGTTCTTGTAAAAAGTCTTGGATTATGAAATAAATATTGACTAATTGCTTTTGATTCATGTGCAATAATTTTTTTAAACTGATCTTCACCAGATTTTCTTGAATTATTTCTTTTTAAATTTAATTTTTTAAGATTATAATAAATAGTAGACATGTCCTATAGCTATCTATATCCATAACAAAGTCCTTCTACTTCATATGAATTCCAACTTCAAACAACCTTCTTAACTACCAACTTGCTCAAAACACTTCAAAAGTAAATTGATTCTATCCCTTAAATCATAGGGTATTTTTTTTATAACATTTAAAATTTTTTAACTAAAAAGTTGCTTTTCATTTATTTTTTTAAATAATTAAATATTTTTCTAAAAATTTATATAATATTGGTTTTAATTATATATTATCTATTGATAGTATTTATTTTTTATTTAT